AAAACACTAAAATACCCTAAAAGATGCTAAAAGACAAATTAGGGTGGGTGAATTTTAAAATCTTAAATTAGACCCTTTTTATTATTTTAAAATTTTAAAATATTATAAAATGACAACATGCCCTTACTCCCAGTGACTACTTTTATATAGCTATTAACTACATCCAATAGCTACTTTTATATAACTATTAACTACATAAGAGTAGTAAATAATAAAACAAAAAGTAGTCACCAAATCTCCAACAACACTTAATATATTTTTTGAATTTTTGAAACAAAAGTACTCAATAGCGAAACTAGAGTAGTCAATAGCTAAATAAGAGTAATCATCAAATTTTTAAAAATGAAAGTAGTCAATCACAATATTAGAGTAGTCAATAACTAAATAAGAATAGTCATCAGAGTTCTAAAAATAACTGTAGTCAATAGCTTAAAAAGAGTAGCCAATTTATAAGAAAGAGTAGTCACTGGAGTTTCAGCGACTGGTCATCAGAGTCTCGATGACATCTCACCAGAGCTCCGATGACTGGCCACCGATAGGGTCACTTGTGCCGGAGCTCTGGTGGCTGGAAACCAGCTAAAAGTGCTCAGGTGGCAATATTTAAAAAAAATAGTAAAGGGCATTTGTATAATTTGACATGATTTGAAAATTCCAAAATAATATAATGGGTCTTAATTGAGATTTTGAAATTCACCCGTGCTGATTTCGACAATTTTCAGGATATTTTATTGTCTTTTTCCAAATTCTTACATTCTTCAACCTTTTTTTAAAAAAAAAAGATTGGGTCGGACAAAAATAAGAACTAAAACATCAATTAATTCGAGGGAAAACCATATTGAAGGTACCTATACTTTCTCTCAATTTTTAATTTGGTACCTATGTGTTTTTTTCTCTTTAATTAAACATTTAATTTTATCTTTTTAGCAATATTAGCTCTTATAACTTTGTTCTATTGATATTTTTAGTCTCTACATAAGGATTAATGATGTTAATAGAGGAAAAATAAAGATTTAGTTAAGAACAAAAAATACATAGGTACCAAATTGAAAATTAAAAAAAAGTATAGGTACCTCCAATATGGTTTTCCCTTAATTCGAAGCAAAATTAGAATTCTTTCCTCTACCCCCAATTCCTCGACTCGTGAAAAGAAAATAATGACAACAGTTAAAAAAGGGAGGAACCCAAACGAAAAAAAAAAAAACAGAGAGAAGATATCCTTGTATTGAAAACTGGTTTTAGTGTATCATGATGCTTATTGAATCTCAATCATTCAAGTTTAATATGAATGACCGGAATTTAATATTTAATATTTTTGTGTTTTTAAAAATGTTTTTCTTTATTAATTACGTAATCCAAAATAAATATAATAGCTTAATTGTAGGTTTTTAAAAAATAATTTATTTAAAAATTACTAATTAAAAATTTTAAATCTAGACTATTTAAAATATAGCTTAATGGGTGCTCATCTTAGTTCACCTTGTATTGTGACGACAAAATGACTGTCACCAGTTTAAAACAAACTTAAATTGTCAATTTATTTAAATGATTTAAACCTATTTAAAATGGTTTTTATTTTCAATAAAAAATTAAATAATTTGATTAAAAGTGAAAATTATTCCAAAATAAATATTTTTCTGAAAAAATAGAAAACTTGACTTTTTTTTTTTTGGTTACAAACTACTAGGGATATGATAATGGTACTACACTAGTAAATTTGTACTCCAGCCGCATCGGGTCCTCGACTAAGGGGGTATTTGGATAAGATCAAAACCATGATTTTAGAAGTGCTTTTACGGTATACGAAATAAATGTGTGAAGGAGTTTGCTTTGATTTGCGAAGAAATGCTTCTGAAAAGTGATTGTTAGGGTATCCAAACACCCCCTGAATATTGAACTCAATATCCCCTTGTCTTATTTATATGTTTCAAATTTGGTAAGAAATATAATTCGTTTTATAAGTTTCAATTTAGATTTGTCTTAATATTGAATCTGTTCTTTCTAATTTTGCACTAAATTATAATTTTTCTTATCACATTTCCTCACACATTCTCTTTCATTATTTCTCTCATTTATTATATATAGGGACGTATTTGAAAATAAAAACATATTTCTAACCTATTTATTATTTTAACCTAATTTTAATTAATTATTTATTATCTATAAATTAGTTATTTAAAACTTATAAGTAATGACGGGAAGCAGTGTAGTTCTTATCACCCACAGACAACTGAATATGAATTAATTTGTGATGACAAAAAGAAAGAAACCAATAAGGTTTCCACGTGAAGAGGGGCTCTCTTCTTGGAGGGGAGTACGAGAGAATGGCACTGTCATTGTGTCAAATTGTCCTTGCCTCTGGCGGCTCTCTATCTCTCTCTTTCTCCTTTCCTGCTTGTTTTCCTTCTCTTCTGCTCATAATTCATTCACAATCCCACCCCTCCTCGTCCTTTCCTTCGGTGCAATATAACATCGTCCTTGCAGAAATATAAACACAGGAACCACCATGATTATTATATAATTGAGTGACATATAACTCGAATATGCTTGGTTATATATATAGAGAGAGAGATCAGATATGTACGTATATATGTATGAAGGGTAACTAGTGTGATAAGAATTTCAAGAGATATATAAGATAAATGATTTTCTTATAAGGATTGGCCTTTAACTTAATTTGAGACCTTCTAACTAAGCAAATACAAAAGAAAATCCCCAAATGTGTGGTTTTTTTTGCGGAAGACAGTTCTTATTATAGAGTCAAGAAAATATATCAACTTCTGAACTTGAGTCATGAAGAAAGACTTTGGAGTCAAAGGTTTTGCCACCTGAACAGGAGTAAGATGTAATATATATACACACACATTGCAATTTTTTTTTGGCCACCACACGGTGCAAATTTAGTAAGTGGCAGGTTGAAAGTGATTTGAAAGTTAAAATAGGATATCAAACCATGCCACAAGTAACATAGTTTAAATATTTGGGATTAATTATATAAAATAATGCTTAAGTGTTACCAAGCTATTTATCATTATATAACACTCCTCTGGTCTTTAGTGTATGATCTATTTAATTAATTTGATTAGATTAAGAAAAGCAGATAAATTAGTTAATTATAAAAAATATGATATGTTTTTTTTAAATACTATAATCATCTTTCTCATTATCCTACATCTCTCTTACTTCATTATGACTGAGAGAATACCAATAGAAGTAATTTGAAAAAAATTGATAAATATGATATTTAGGTCTTACATTTAATACCAAAATTAATTTAACAATTAGATCCTACGTTAAGGATTAAAAGAGTACCTAATAAGTTGAGAAGATTTATTCAGTTGTTATAAGACCAACAATACATACTATATGCAGTAGCTCACAAACATAAAGTTAGGATAGTAATTAAAGGTAATGATGTCAAGATATATATATATATGTGTGTATATATATATTTTATATATAGTCATAAAAGATAATATTTAGATGTGAATGAGAGGGGGCGTGCATTTGTTGAAGTAAAATTGTTGAAAATCGTTTTAAGGCGATTCAAACATGTATCAATGAAAAGAGTTGAACGAACAAACAGTTAAGTCTTGTGAAAAGTGGTAAAAGAAAAATAAAAAGAATAGTAAGTTATTGAATGTGACTTTCTAGTTAATAATATACTTAAAAATTTAGTTATTAATAAAGCACAATAATATGTGGAAATCTTGTAACTGGTTCCGCCTAATGAAATAAAAATTATTTTTGCTGCTGTTGCGGGTTAAAGACTATCAAAATAATAATTTTAATATAGTTTCCATAAGCATGCATTGATATCAAAATTTTTGCTTTGTTATATAAAATGTTAATTAGGACTGACCCAAAATATTGTTGTGATTATCCCTTTGCATTCCATATTGCATAGGCCTCCAAATTTCCAGGTATATATGTACCCTCCTGTTATTCATATATGCATATATATGGGTTAATAACTTAATATAGACTTTGATCCTTCAAAATTACCCTCATTTTAGTTTTGGTATTTCAAGTTTTAAATTATAGGTTTTGGTCCATCAAATTTCTGTTTATTTAAAACACTGATCCTTATAAACTAATAAAAACTTGGATCATTTTGTCCTTAGAGAGACCAAAACCTATCATTTGAAATTTAAGGGACCAAAACTAAAATGAGGATAAACTTGAGGGACCAAAAATTATATTAACCTTATATCTATTATACGTATGTCTTTTTTTTTTTTATTGGGGTAAAAATACATATGTCTGTTCTAAGCGTATGTTACAAAAGCGGTGTCTGTCAATCTTTAAATGGATTTTAGTTCCGTATTCCTCCGAATCATTCAAATAGCTAGTGGGCCACTTGTTATCATGAATTTATTTGCTGGATTTTTATCCTTGCTCAATCTCTCTCACACACATAACTCCCACTTCTTTAAAATAATAAATAAATATTGGTACCAAACAAAAAATAAATAAATAAATACTTCGCTGTGTGGGTTGAAGCACGAGGGCTGCGACGTAAGACAAGGCAGCAAAATTCAGTTTCACTTTGAAGTAATATAATCAGCAACCTCCAATTAATTATGATTTGTTATAAGCATTACTAGCCTTTGATTACCTCTGCACAGAATTCAGGTGGTGGTTAAGTTCTGCAGGTTCTAAAACTTGGATTCTTAATTCTTCTTCTTCTCCCAATTTATCTTAAAATATCAGAACCACTTTTTTGCCCTGTCATTACCGTCCTGTGAGGAGACAAGAGATAGGGAAAACTCCGTTAACTGTAATCTCTGTTTAAGATTACAGTTAAGAGTTTAAAACTTGAGGGTTAATAATCCCTCTTAATAGTTTAATTTATTGGTAAGAATCCCTCTTAATAGTTTAATTTATTGGTTTATGGGTTGATTTTAGACTTGGTTTATAACACGTAGGTCCTAGGACAGTCAAAAAAGTTAGTTGGATTTGCAAGCAAGTAGAGTTTATTACTAGTTACTACTGAACATTAACATTAGTGAGAAAGCATAACATGAGGTAAGTCCATAGGTCTCTTGGTGCTCTGTTCTGTTCCGCCTTCACGCTGACTATTTTGGAAGTCCCTTTTTACCTTTCATGTGGCTACAAGAGATGTTGAGGTCTTGTTCTGGGCAATCCAGTTGGAGAAGACCTCAAGGGTGTTCATGTCAGATCTGTAATGCTTCTGGGTGAACTCGAGAAACTCAGGCCATGTAAAGTCTGGGTACATTCTTGGGCTCCGCTGGTTCACTATTTCACTCGGGGCACTCACCACTTTATCACTTCTCGGATTCAAGAAGAAAGCCAGAGATTTTCTGGTCATCGTGTTGTTCACCACTGCCCTGTGCAAGCAGCTCTTGTATATCCCATTTGAAAGAGCCTGCGTCAGGAAGAAACAAGAAGAAGAAGAAGAAGAAGAAAGAATCAAACACAGTGATAGTTTAGCAACATGAGAAATAAAATCTAGAACCAATATGCCAGCTTTCTTTGTTATTTTTCCTGCATGTAAGGGTATGTTACCATGAATGTGTCCCCGATATTGATCACAAGAGCGTCGAAATTTGTGTAAATGTATTGCCATTGACCGTCCACATAAACTTGAAGGCCACCCACATCGTCTTGGTGAAGAATGGTCAGAGAGGTGGGATCACAATGAGGACCAGTACCTAAAGTGAGGTCTGGTTTCTGACATGGAGGGTAATAATTAAGCCTCATTACTGAGCAGTTTCCTTCAAAGAAGTCTCTGAAATATGATCTCCCAACTCCGAGGCTCAATCCCAGAAGCTCCATTATTCCTAAAGAAAGCTTGCTCATCACCTCACAGTACTCCTGGTAAACCTGCCTGTTCATTCATGAAACAAACGAAGCAACTTAGAAGAAGAGGTGAAACAGAGCAAGAGAAACAAAAATTAATTGAAATGGTGACGTGTTATTTATTGTTGGTTATTGGTATTACCCGAATTGTTCGAAGTCTTTGCCCAATTTATTACACAAGTAGTTCTTGACGGTGTTGGACTTGCTTTTCTCCGCAGAGAATTCGAAAGAGAGCGTCTCTTTCCATGGAAGCTTGGAGGAAAACCTGCCCGTGAAACTACTGGCATAGCCTTGGTGGTCCCCAAGTTTTCTCTGGGCTCTCTGTTTCTGAGACAGGGGAAGCTCGAAGAAGTCATCCATGAAACCGTGAGCATCACTGATCAACTTGGGGTCCACGCCATGGTTGACGATGAGGAAGAAGCCGTGCTTCCGGCATGCTTCGTGGACGATCCTGGAGGCTTCCGCCGCAGCAACAGGGTCTCCGGACAGGAATCGTCCCAAGTCAACATGTGGGACTTTCAGTTCTGGAGCGTCCAAGCATGGCTTCTCTTCGTCTGGCCATAAGAATTCCTGTGGTACATTGAGCTCGTACCTGATAACTGAGGAATCAAAAACCACTGGTTTCTGGCCATCGTCTTTTCCTTCTGGGTTAGCCGTGGATTGTGTGCTCGCTATGCTCTCGATTGCCATTATTACATCAACGACTTAAAGGATATTGTTCTCTGTAAAGGAGCAAGAAGAAGAAGGAGAACGAGAAGGAGAAGAGGGATCGGAGTAATAAGTTTGAGAGATGAGATGAAGGAAAAGCCAAGGCCGCTTGGTGAAACAGGTGAACGAAGATTGGAATCTTATAGATAGCGCTGAGAGTTTGAAATTTGCAGGGCAGGGTCTGCGAACCTGATAAATTGCAGAAGAGGGTGCTCTTTTCTGGGGAAAATTAATTGAGGTAATGAATGTATTCAAAGAGTTAAGGCATTTTGTCCTTTATATTGTATTCAGAAAAGCGTTTTCCAATGGCCATTTTGGCTTTTCCAGTGCTCAGAGTTGTTAATGTCATTGATGATAGTTTGTTTGATGTATGGTCGTTTTAACTGGCTAGTCTTGTGAATGCATCCTTTCTTTTTTTTAACATACAAATAATCAAATTACCAAGTTAGGTTAAAATTTATTAAGGACAGTGAACAAAAATATATATATGTAATTTTTTTCTAAAAGAGAAAGTTAGTGAACGAGTATATGCATAATTAATGTAGTGAAATGGTATTAACAATTTCATATGTACTACTAGTGTCTCTTATAAATAAGAATAAATCATCTCTAAAAGAAATTTATCTTTTGCCAAATAGCTTTATAGTCTAAGGATACGTAAACTCTTAAATAAGGAGAGACTGGGGATCCACTCTTACTTTTATACCCCGAGATTGTTAATGTCCGTATCTATCCTTTTAGTTTTTTTAAAAAAATCTTTTATAAGACCAAGGAAAGGATAAACTATAAACTGCTCCATAGAACAAGTTGCAAGTAAATATATAAGGCTCCTTAATTTATTATCTCTTCAAAGTATGAACACCTATTAATAAGAATCATATTCACAGAACTTCACCTAAGCAGCAGGCTTAGATATTTAATTTGTGAATTACAATGATCATGATATTTATATTACCTCCAGACCTATTTATAAGATCTCGTTTATAGACTATAAATGAGGTCTTATAATTAGAATCAGAAGTAGTATTAAAAAGATCATCATCAATGACTACAAATTCATTATTCACAAGCTCCTAGGGGTGTTTGGATTAGTAAAGAAGTGTTTTTAAAAAATACTTTTTCACAAATCGAGACAAACTCCTTCACATATTGACTTTGTATATTATAAAAATACTTTTAAAATCATGATTTTATTTCCATCCAAACATTTCATTAGTCATATTCAAATCAATTATCTAGATAGATATGCAGGAGATGGTAGCAAGGGTATATAGAAAGAAGGTTGATTACATAAAGTAAGTGGGTAAATATGATTAACAAGAGGAATGCAAATGTCCCCCAGTTCAGTGAGCAGGAATTGAGTTATATAAAGTAATCATAGCAACTTTCTGTAATCCAGAAGCAGACCCCAAAAAGATGAAGACAGGCACAATAGAGTAGTACTGTGACAAAAGTCGTATCAGAAAAGTATTGGATACGTGTGTGGTTTTTTTAAACTGAAAAAGTATTTCTGTTTCGACTTTGGAATCATCATCTCCACACTAAAGACAAAGCCTAGGACGATCTCATTCTACCTAAAAAAAAAACCAGTCTACCATGAACGTGACTTGGCTATGGATATCGCACTCATCCTAAGTACTAGTCTATACGAATGACTCGGCTTATTGCTCAGCGAGTGAAAATGACTTGATGAATCTTAGACTATTAAGCATGCATGTGTTTGAATCTGAATCGGTTGGTATATAGTTTAGAGAGCTATCAGATTGTTCTAATAACTGATATCAGAGGGGTAACCAAAGAATCAAGGATCAAGATGGTGGGTGGGAAGAGAGAGAGAGAGGGGAGGGGGTGGTTAGTGAGGAAAAAACAAAGGTGCAAGATATGTGTCAGAGCAAGGTTCGATGGAGTCAAATATTTTGAGATTTGAAACAGGGTCGTTTGATGAGTTTGGAAGGTAGTGATTGAATGCTCGGACATAATGAGCTTGAACACCATCGCACTATGCTCACAAATTAATCAACTCCCGTTTGGTATGATAGAGTGATTTTTAAGAATATTTCTCGGTGTGTCTGGATAGAACCAAACCATGGTTTAGAGAATAGCTTTTTAAAAATAGATTCTGAAAAGAATAGATTTTGTAAAAAAGTGATTATGAGAAGTGAGAGTGTTTGGATAGTTGTTATCAGAAGTACTTTTTATATATACAAATTACTAAAAAAACATAAGTTAATATGATAATTATATAAAAGATAAATTTTATGATATATTTTAATTTGAAAGAATAAAATTGTTAATAATATATTTTTTACCAACATAATTAATAATACATAAGATAATGTAATTAATAAATAATTAATATGTGTGTATATATGTTTATAAGATATAATGTTAAATATGTTTATAAAAAAATAATTGAGAAATGTTAAAGTTATATTATTGTTGAGATTACTCTGATAGGCACAATCATCTCTCCAATTTGAGCCAAAAGCAGAATGAATTCATTTCTTCTAAAACCATGGTTTTGGATTCCAAAATCATGGTTTTGGCCCAAACCATAGTTTCAGATTATTGGCTCAAAATTGATGCTGTTTGGGTGACATCTCACCAAAACCATGGTTTTGCCATCCAAATCATAGTTTTGAGTGTCACCCAAACAGTTTGAACTTTGAATCCATTAATTTTAAGTAATTTGATGTTATTTTATGTGAAAAATTTTATCCCATAGAACATTAAAAAATGATTATTTGTGATTGGAAAATGAGCATAATTAAATGGGTTAAAGTACTAATTTATCCTAAAAGTTTTCGTATAGCATTCGAAATTTTTTTTAGTACAAATTTATCTATTTACTTAAAATTGTGATAATATTATTTCTTACTATTAAAAATAGTAACAATCAACTTTACTTTTAATCATAAAAAGCAATTTTATTATGATTTTAAATTTTTGGGATAAAAAAACTTCTAAACGTCGAGCGCGCCTGGATGAAAACTTCCGTAACAAATTTTTGATCTTCACTTATAATTAAATTTTAGAAGTATGTTTGATATGGATTCTGAATCTTAAAAACAAATTGCATTTGGAATGTCAAAAGACTTAAATGCCCTTTTGGAAAGAAAAGAACTCACGGCTGTCCCTCCCCTTTGCCCCTAGCATTATATTCACGGCGACACCATAGAACCGCCTGGCGGGCATCTGAATCAAACCCAGATCTGAGATGCAAACCAAATTGAAAGTAAAATGGCACAAATGGAAACCTCAGATATCCGAGCAGAAAAAACCCATCGAAAATCATGATATCCTCTGCTGTGAAGAAGCCTGACAAATCGGAAACAAAAAAAAAAAAAAAACTGAAATTTCAAAGCTCCAGCGCTAGATCTGTTTCATTTCTTTCAAATCAGAAGCAAGAAAAGCTTCAGACTTTCACAACGGAGAGACCAGAGAAGATGATCTGGGCGAAGAGATGAAGACTGAAGAAGAGACTGCACAAGACAAAGAAGATGTGGGGGAGACTGACGCTGGGGATGATGGCGCCGGCCGTCGGAGTTAAGGGGCGATAAGACCGGCAGATGTGTGACGGGAACAGGCGGGTAGGGACGGAGAGGTCTCATGAAAATAATTCCATGGAATTGCACCAACTCTATCCTCACTCTGATGGAATTCAATTCAAGGAATTTTATGTACCAAACAGGCGAAGTAGGAATCCAATTCAATTTTCTTTCCACCTTCTCAGCTCCTTGATGCCAGACACAACATGAGAGCTTGAATTATTTACCTCACTTGTAAACTGATTTATAAATTATAATCTCATATTACGTATAAGTATATTTTTATATGTTACGTCTACTATAATTAACTTGTTTAAATTTTTAATTTATTTCAAATAATTAAGTAATTTTTATATCAAAAATAAGAAATTAATTAATAGTATAAATCATATTTTTAATTATATTATAAGAATATGAAATCTTTAACTTCTATCTGCATATTATTATTAGTGAAAAGGCAATTATTATTAAAAAAATATTTATAACACTGTATATTTTTTCCTACTCCCTTTTATTGACGAACCAAACGTGTGTGCTGAGAATTATATTATTATACAATTTTTTGTTAGCGAGTCAAAAAGTTAAAAAAATAAAAATAAATAAAAGGCAAAAGTTCAGAGAGTGATTTTGACTCGATACCGCACATATTTCCTCGCTATGCGCGCCATTGCTTCCCGGTATGAGAAAATTACAAGAAAATACCCAAATAGGAAAATATTTATGGCGCCCCTGAATGAAATTATGTATTAGCTTGCTTCTGAGTTGTGATGTTTTCGGGGAATGGAAGACATCTGGGGAGAGGCAGTGAGTTGCAGTTGTGATCCATGCATGAGGCATGCAATAATATATATATATGTATATATTCATATATTTATTGTGTGGTCGTTTTCTCTTTGATTCATTATCCTAGTATGCAGTTATCTGTGTGCAGTGTGCCTCTCTGTGTTGTTGCAAAATTTGAAGCCCCATTTTTCCAACACATACTAATATTGGAACTCGGCAAAGATGGGTTAAGTTACACTTGTATGTGCTGCATGCATGCATGCGACATTAACGTCTCTGCTCTTTTCTTTCTTATTTTGTGCCCTTCAGTGTGTTCATGTGATCCCTAAATCTGTGCCATACATTTAATAACACATGAATGAGAAAATGGATGAAAGAGGATGTATGGAAAAATATGATAAAAGAGTATGAAAAATGAGATAGAATAAATAATTAAGGACAAAATTGAAAGAAATGTATTAAATGTTTAGACAATCTCTAAATTAAAACTTATAAAATAGACCATATCCCTCTCTTCAAATTTGAAACTTACAAATAGGATCGGAAGGAGTATTATAAGAACAACAATCTTCTAACTAATTCACATCTATCAATGAAAACATTAGTTAAGATATAAATTTGTCTCAAAAGTTTTTGCTCCAAAACAAGTTG